CGGTTGAGCAGGTTGTTCCCGTGGGCCCGCTCCCTCTCCCGGTCCCCGGAGGTGGGCCTCACCGCGTCCGCCGCCGGGCCCAGCGCCGTCAGGTTCGTGCACTCCGCGGGGGTCGTCGTCGGCGCCGGCAGAGGGGCCTTCGCCGCCCCCGCTGACGTGGGTGGCTCCGCCTTGGGCGTCGGCGTCGTTGTCGTCGTTGGGGGCGTGTAGAACGACGGGCGCTGCATCAGGTATCGCCGCACCGTCCCTGAAGCACCAAATTCACAGAAATGCGTTATAACGGCCTTTGAGTAACACACAAGATGGAACCGCGCTAAGCAGAGTGGAACCAAGTCACATTAGCTATTGCCGAATTTAATCGGGCAATTTAATTTTTTATATGAAAACAGTTATTTATTTTTATTATTTTTTACTACTGCTTCAAATAGCCCACAAGGGCTAATCCTGCGCTAGCCAGGATGATTAATGGAGAATTTGCACACAAAAATTTTATTGCTCATCTGAGAGTGTTTAATGACCTGATTTCGCAGTAATTTTCATAATGTTTTTCTGACATGGGAAATTGGAGAAAAATAGGTTTAAAAGTGAGAAAATTTGCCGCCTCAAAACGTCATCAGGCGGCATTTTCCATATGAACACATGTATTTTAGCAGATTAGGTTATTTTATCATATTTCCTCCAATAATTGTACAATTTATAAACCACGGATATCCTTGTACTCAGTTTTCCTAGCAGTATCATTTTAAACATGGAATTTACAACGTTCAGACACCTGGAAATTCTCTATTATGCAGATTTTTATGCAAGTTTCAGCAAATTTTCTGCCTAAAACGAGGCAAATTTCTTAAAATTTTCGAAGGAATCCACACGACCGTTCTATTGTAAAGAATTAAATTGCTCGGTTAAATTTGGCGACAGCTAATGTGGCTTGGTTCCTCCCTGCTAAACGCAGTTCAATTGACGAAAAGACTCTAAGCAGCACTAACACTAAGGCATTCGTAACTAAATAATGTGACACCTACACGTCGAAAAAAGCATTAAATTAAGTATATAAGGCAACTGGGTCAAAACTTTTTTAAACCTCGAAGTTCATGTAAAAAAGAGGTCGGATACCTCAGTAAGTAAAGCGTATATGAAAGAAAAGTCAATCTAATAAGACGAAACAAGGCGTAAAGTGGTGTTAATAATCACCGATCTTTGTGTTGTTTCATCAAATTCAAAGCCATCCATTTTCAGTTGATAATGTTCGATTTACTTTAATATCTGACTGCGAGGGTAAACGATCTCCGAGATTTAGAAAATATTCCACCCAGACCCCACATTCGTTTACTTTGGTTTTTAACTATAATGCAATGAAACTATTGAAATAAGTTTCAATTTTTTTTTACCACGAAATTAATTTTTTTACACTTTTTGGGTATATTTAAACAGAATTAGTCTGCCTTTCTTGCAAGTCTTGTTTTGATTTTTTTTTTTTATTTTTTAAGGGGATCTAAACAACATTATAGACCTTGAAACTTGCTCTAAATGTTCCACATTTTGAAGAGTTTACTTACGAAGTTTCGAGTCAAAATGTTGCTTAGTTTCCTAATGCAGAGATGGCACTCTTAAAAAATTACGCAATCTGATGTAGTAAGACTGAATCTGATTAAATCTACACAAAAGGTCAAGAAATACTGGTTTAAAGAGATCGGATGCTCAGGCTAGAGATCGGAAGTTTGCAAGGCAAATGAAGAAAATTATGCTGTGATTCAGTTTATTGCGAGAGACTTTTTTAGAAAGAGCACCTAGGCAACATATACGGCACTGCGATAACGCCTGCGTGGAACGCGTATTGGCGCCTACAAGACTGTAGGAGTACCTCACGCATTGCACGTACGCACCGTGGTGTACGCGCAATGCGTGAGGTATCCTTGCTGTGTACGCGTAAAGCGTGAAGTATCCTTGCAGTCTCGTGGGCGCTAATACGCGCTGGCCGCACTACCGCACTGTGCGATGCAGTATAATAATAATTTTTGTGATTTTTTGTAATCAAAATTGATCCCCACCTTGTGCTCCTTGGAACGCATGCCAGCCGAAATAATTATGAACGAAGGAGGTATTTTTACTTGTCGTCACAGTATAGTCACCTTTCTTGAAAAAAAATATCAAGCCTATCTTAAAAATTGACGCACGGTTACAAAAGGTTACACACAAAGGTTACCCTTAGTATGCTCAATGTAAAACATAGCTCTCCTGGATAACTGTATGATCCCCATTACGCTGTTTCTCTACCTAGTTCTTTAACAAATTTTTATTTTCCGATCGACATTATTTCTCGTTTTTTTAAAGTTTTTTGTTCCTTGAAGTAAGCATTGAGAATAACATACCGTCATAGTACTGAGGCTCTTCTTCTTGAAAATGATGATGGCTCATGCTGAGTTCGTCCACACCCGGCCTGTGGAGCTGCGGAATTAAGTTGAGCCACAGTGACATCTTGTGACCTCGATAGTGTTTTTTGATTGTAGAGTTTTCAGCTGTGTATCAAAAGACCATATTATAGTCATATATTCAGATAATTTTTCAGGTTGAGAGAGTATGACGACAAACGGACGCTTTAAATGAAAAAGGTACATCTTCTGCATTAGAAATTTGAAAAAAGCAAACAAAATAAAGATACAGAGAAAGTTTCTATTTTCAACCCATCCCTTCAACAGACATGGCGTTCCTCAAATATATAAATGTAGAGGGACTTCTTTCGCGCAAGCGTCCAAATGAGGGTGTTAGTTTCATCTAAAATATTATTTTAACTCCACTTTTTGAAAAATATGCTACTCATGGTAATTT